GGTCAGACTAGTAGGTCAGGGGTAGTCAGATTGTCAGAACATAAGAATTTAGCTAAGGTAAGAATGGTTGACCCAGACAAGATAAGTAATTTAGAAAAAAGCTCGGCAATTGCAATGCATGCATTAACACACAACCACACAATAGGGTGGAAGAGTGTTAAAATTCTGAAAAGTAATCTAGGTAGGTGGAGAGAGAGGTTGATTACTGAATTCTTGTTCATTGAGTCTACACCCAACATATGCAATATGAATGACTCATCACTCACAACGGAAATATGGAAAATACTACTGCCAATCAAGTCAATCGATGGAAAAAATGGAATTAATTTTAAAGGAAGTTGGAAAGTTCTGTGAGTAACTTGATATGATTATGAGTGGCGATGCACTGTGCTCGAAACTTGGTCATCAGTAAGATTTTATCAAAATAAATTTTATCCATAATGGAGTAATACACAACCAATCAAATTATTATTATTTATTATTATTATTCCGTTGCGTTTTGAGTGGAGCATAGGGCTTCAACCACACATATTCATTTTTTTCTGTTTTCTGCCTTCCTCTTCAGCTGGGTCCACGATTGATCAAACTTTCTCATCTCTTCCTCACACGATCTCTGCCATTTCACCCTCGCACTGATGACCCACTCGTCGCTTCCCATTTGGATTCCAGTAGAGCGATTGCCTGGCGTGCGATGTCATTCGGCGGCCTCCTCAATGTATCAAACAGTCAAAGGGTAGAAATAATTGTAAAAGGTTAAACAAGTGAATTGCTTAATGCATAATTTTGGAAAATTATTAAGTGTACGAGTTGATTACCAAATAAGCAAAATGATTAAAGTTGAAGTAGTCAGAAATAGAATAAAATAATTAAAACATAGTTAACGTGTAAAAGGCTTAAAGGGGGAAGGGAAATTGTTAGATTGTTACATTCGCGCAACGATAGCCAAGGCAAAGAAAGCGACTGGACAAAATTCTTCTAACCACACCGGTTTGGCTTCTTCAGGTAGATTCCAATGGCTTCAGCCCAAGGTGTGTAGAAGACTAAGTGGTTAGGCAAAATTAAGATAATTTGGAATGCGGTAAATAGCTGTTAATGCTGTATTAACATCAACATTATGCTCACTATCTACAAGGTTTGATAAGACAGAGCTGCGTATACATCTTGTCTGTAGTTTGTTGAAGAATGCAGGATGTTCAGGCATACGATGATGAACGTGCCTAATTGTAGGCCTAATATAGCTAGCTCCGTAGCTGCAGTCAAAATGGTAGATGCGCATAGAGGAGATAAAGTTAGGTGGTTTGTCCTTATTCATTGAACGTAAAACAGAGGTGGTAGTAAAGAGACAATGCACCTCTGCTACACTTCAGTGCGTTCTTCACTGTTGCTATTTGTCTGACTTTATCACCAAGGAACTGTACTTTTGTGGACAAGCGCTTCTTTGGAGCTGTCGCCATACTGACTTGTAATATAGTAAAATTCATATTTTTATCTGAATAATCATTTTTCCTGAGTAATACTCTCATAATCTTAAGTTCTTTATTGAAAAAGCCATATAAGCAGATTATCCTAGCTGTATGCAGTAAACACTTTATTAAGTCGCATTTACATTTCCAAAGTGCGAAAGTCCTAAAAATGTGCTTACAGTTCTGTCCTTCACAGTGTACCATCCTTTTTCCAAGTCAGAAAGACGTCAAGGAATGAAATACTGCCATGAATTTCTTTCTCGATAGTAAAGTTTATTCGCTTAAGGCACATCACTGAACTTATCGGAGATGTTCAGTGCTTCATCCTCGCTTTTCTTGATCGAAAATGTGTCATCTATGTATACCAATAGTAGAATTCACTTTTAATAATCACTCCTACAAGTTGTTCGTTGAAAATCTTCGGGATGTACTGTCCTGGATGCAAAATATATATATAAGCCTAATTCAGTGTGCAGATTTCGTTTACTCAAACTTTCTAAAATTTGCCAAAGCTATTTTGCCTTGATGTCAGAGATTTCTTCAAAACATCAGACATACTGTGAAACAACCTTGTCCATATAAAAGAGCGAATCCCCAACGATTCTCTGTCTAATTGTGTCTATAAAATAAAATCCTTTCCCGGAATGTGATGCGATATACATCGGAAAAAATCGCTAGAGAGAAATCAAAATCAGAAGAAATGAACACCGTAGAGCTGCATCTGTTCGACCACCGAGAAATCCAGCTGAACTAGAAAAACTTGAAAAATCATCAGCTGTAGAATCAGGACACAAAATTGTTTTTGGCAATATTGAAATCATCATCCAGAAGAATTTGAGAAATCACAAAGAACGTCTGATATCAGAAGTACTTCATATCAAGTGGAATCTGAATTGTATGAACAGGAATTTTATCTGGTTTCAACAACCCATTCTCCATGAAATGACATAATCAACACGAATGTAATAAGCAATTTCACTATGTAAACACATGCTGCTATTATAGTTTTACACACTCATCAAATCCAACAATCTACATATGGTTTTGTTATCATTACTAATTGGCCAACTTGACAACAAAATTAAAATTACCTCATGCTGGGGAACGATGATTAATTTTGTTGTATATATTAGCTGAGATTTTGTAAATTCTGATTTATTACTTTGATACAGCTATTAGCATTAATTGGCAATAAGAAAAAGGCACAAACAGCGAAGAAAATTTTCTTTTCAACGGTTCATTTTCATAAGCTGTACAATCGTAATTATAATTAACAAAGAAATCTTTAAACCAATCAGATACTGGTAAATTTTATCCTTGGAAAATTGTATTACATAATGTAAGGTGCAAGAAGGGATAACTATTTGTAAGTTAGACAGGGGACAGAAGTTGGCATGACGTAATGTGTGAGATAGTGAATAATCAGTAAGCTCATGTAAAATGGACAGGAACTAGTGCTAAGGCTATAAAGTGTTTCTTGTATAAAATATGTATGAAAAGCAATGTTATTAATAAACAGAAATAGAGTAGTAATAAAATGTGGATGATGGGAATAATAATGATAATAAAAGTATTAATAAAAATAAAATAATAATAGTAGTGAACATACACAATAAAGGAAAGAGAAAAGAAAATAGAAATTGGAATCACGCCACGAAAATTGAAAGAATTACTACTAAAATGCACTATGAACGTTCAATTTGTATTTAATAAGGAGTATTACCGCCAAATAGATGGAGTTGCTATGGGTTCTCCCCTTGGTTCCTTATTAGCTGACATATTTCTATCTAAATTGGAAAATGGTCCTTTAAAAGAGATACTAGACAAACTCGATTATTATTGTCGATATGTTGACGATACCTTTATCATTTGTAACAATAATCAAGATAGACAACACCTGCTCCAAGTCTTCAATAAGGTACACCCAGCTATTAAATTCACTTGTGAAGAGGAACTCCAAGGTAGTATTCCATTTCTGGATGTTCTTCTTACAAAGAGAACAGACGGTACCTTAAAGCGAAACATTTATAGGAAAGCGACGTGGAATGGACAATACACCCACCTCCATAGCTTCATACCCATACAATATAAGCGCAACCTAATTCTTTGTCTCAGTCATAGAATTAGACACATATGTACCGACGACTGCATTGAAGATGAAATAAGAAATCTTACAAACGCCTTGCTACAAAACGACTATCCTACCAACTTTGTAAAGAAGTATATCTATGAAACTACACACAAAACTAAGCGAGACACAGTAAGTAAGAAAAAGCTTTACTTAAATTTACAATTCAAAGGCGATATATCCAGCGATATATTAAACCGTAGATTAACGAGAGCAGTTGAAAGAACTTTCAGTGCTGCAAAACTGCATGTCACTTTCTCAACCAAACCGATACTGACATTGTGCATTAAAGATAGATTACCCAACATGGCGACATCAGTGTGTGTATATAAATTCAACTGCTCCTGTGGAGCTAGTTATATAGGTCGTACCCAAAGGAATTTATCTTTACGCCCTCGTGAACACATTCCTGTCTGGCTTGCAAAAAACCAACCAAATCATTAAATAGTGCAATTCTGTCTCATCTAGTGGATAGCGAACACAGAATCAAAGTCGATGAGTCATTTACAGTTGTGTATCGAGTACCGAACAATTTCCCCTAAGGCACACGATTACGCCTCCTAGCCATAGCTGAGGCTTTAGAGATTAATAGAGAAAGACCAAACTTATGTGTACAGAAAAAACTTATTTACTCTCTCTGTCTACCCTGGCCCACTATAAGGTCACCAGGATCATAATTTTCCGTATTATTATTACCATTATTATCATTTTGTAATATCATGTCTTTATTATCCATTTCTTCACCCAGTTTATTTCACCTCATTGTTACCCTTAATTTTGTCAACCTTTGTGATTTTACACTAAGCATACCAACTCTGTAACATCTTATTACAATTTACAATTTAGCCTCTTTATTTTATCATTAGACATTATCGGTCAGCCCTCACATTCAGTGTCCCCTTAATTAATGTGTGTTTGTATGTATTTTGTGGTTATCGCATTTTTGACATCGGAGGCTTCTCCTTCATGCTTTTGTCAATAAATCTTGGTGGATACTCATTCTCCAGTAAGGTTTTACGTAATAAATTTAATTCTTTCTCTACCATGTCTTCCGAGCAGATAAGTCAGCAAAAACAATATCGTTTTGTTTTTCATTCATTAGAAAATACAAAAAACCTTTATTATACTCCGAAAAATTACCTTTCTTCCTTCATTCTTATTGGTCAATTTTTATAAGTACATGGGAGTATTTATTACGAATCTGATTGGTTCTTCTTCATTTGAACAAATCAACGTTATCATTAGAGACGTATATATATATACGTGTAATAAATGAAATCCAGCTATCAAAAATAATTCTAATAAAAATTTATAATAATAATATTACTACTAAAATGATTTTCTCAAAATAAATTTCAAAAAAAATAGGAGAATAATTATGATATTTTAATAATAATTCTACTTTTCAAATGGATGAATGTATGGGATCATCGTTTACAAGTTCACTAAATCAAACTCAATCGCCTGTAAATGATCCTTTCGAAAACAGTGGACTTGTTAAATTTCGTAATGAATTCAGTAAAATTCATGGTCCATTATCTTTAGCTGTGTGCACATTTGGTATTCCCGCAAATCTACTAAATATTATTGTGTTAACACGTCGTGAACTCGCTCAAACAGCTACAAATCATCTTTTGCTATGGCTGGCATTCGCCGACCTCCTCCTGATGATTATGTATGCTCCATGTCTCTATCATTTTTTTATTCTTCATCCACATCCAATGAAACCGCCAATTTATACACCATCAAAATTATGGATTACTTATCATGAAATATTTACCAGTTGTTCGTTGATGTTTCATTCACTAGCCCTATGGTTAGCTGTTATACTGGCTTTATTCCGTTATATACATGTTGGATTTCCAGTGATCGGTTCCGTGTATACAACACGGAGACGTGCATTTTTGTCAGCTGTCCTGACGACAATCTGTTGTATATTTATTACTATACCAAATGTACTAGTGAATCATATAAGATCATGTCATGGACCCGTATTCAATTCTAATTCTTATAATTCCGTTTATCATGTAGATACATTGAATAAAAGTGATGTACAAATTTATTATTTTATATCATCAGATCCCTACGATGCTGAGACAGATTCTAATAAAAGTGATCCGAACGCATATCATCAGAGCACCTCGGAGCATTCCAATTATTCATCCTCATCTTCTTCGCCCTCAATAACATTCCAACATTCATTAAAGTTTAGAGCCCCGTCAAAACGATTGCACACTTTTAATGTTTGGTTACAATCGATTGCATCAAAGATTGCACCGCCATTTCTATTGACTATTTTAACTATACTCCTGATTGGAGAATTACAAAAGGCGATACGTCGTCGAAGAGCCCTATTTCGTAATCGTGATAAATCACAGTTTAAAACAGTTAAAGTAACAGCACCAACACCACCAAGCGGGGTAGGGGGAGATATGAAAAAGAATCATCAACGACAATCTATGCCATTTATTCATAATTCATCAACTCTATCCAATTATTCGAATGATGAAGGTAAAAAGTTGACACGAGAAAATCGTACAACAGCTTTACTTTTGACTATTGTAATATTTTTTCTTGTTATAGAATTACCTCAAGGGATACTTGTTATATGTTTACATTTAATAGAGAATTTTGAAGAAAATGTTTATCAACATGTAGGTGATTTGTTGGATTTTTTAACTCTATTGAATGAATCAATTAGTTTTGTTATTTATACAACAATGTCACATCAATTTCGTAAAACATTTTATAATACATTTTGTCCATTATTACATAATAAATTGAATCAATCACAGGAGAATACATTGAATCGTTCTCAACATCAACACAGTCAACAACAGCAACAGCAGCAACAGAAAAATCAACACCACCAACAGCAACAACAACAACCACACTTTTCTGATCAGAGCCTGTCAACAAAGCAGAAAGTTGATCAACGTTCATGTGATACAGAGAGGTCAGAGAAGAGGATTAACTTTTCAAAAGACCTCAGAAATAAAAGTGATATTGATAATAGTAATAATAGTGATAAAACATTAAGTAACAATACAGTAATCACTCAGTCTTCAATATGTACATAGTCAAGGAAAATTGAATTGTCAATTGAACAAGTAATTTAATTGAAACATTGAACAGTTGGGTAATGCTTTTGAATCAGATCAAGAATATACATATGTATTTAATAAAAAAGAATAAGTAAATTGAAAATTTTACAGTTTTAAAATGTAATTTATAGTTGAGAAAAAGAGAAATAAAGTAGTCTTATTTCGTCGGTTGTGTTTAATGATATCCATTAGCCTTTTACGTTCTTTATACAATAAGCCTGGTTTCCTTGAAGTTGGCCTAGCAACACGTTGAAATTTTGATAGGGATCTAGATGGATATTATGAATGCCACTTCTAACTAGATGACTATTGCGAGTAGTTAAATGTATAAGACTTAATTCCAAAGGGGTGAATCCTACAGCCTGTGTCCATTGTCCACTTTAGACAGTAGGCACTGAGCTAATTTTAACCCTGTCGAGTCATGAAATCTCTCAAGTATGCTAACAAACTAACATATATATGTCTTTATATATAAGATTTTAAGTATCTAAACCGTAGATGTTACGAATTTCCTGGAATAATTTCAGAACCAAGTCAGACTGAATCATTATAAGTTATTTAAAATAATCCCCATGTGTTTAAGAAAAAAAATCAAAACAAGACTTCTCTGAATGTTTTTCTGTGTAAGCTACAGCTTCTTCAACAGAATTATTCGGATTTTATTAACAATCCGCATAGGTGATAAGTCTATCCTATCTCTTCTATTTACTGCATTCGATGTGCCTGAAATCTGCAAGGCAACAGAGGTCAATCTTTCTTGGTGAAGTGTTGAATGAGAGCGTCTTCTTAGAATTTCAACGTTGTCGAAGTCAATATTGTGTCCATTGTTTATCTCATGTATTGCTATAGGTGATCTAGACATTTTAATTCTACTTCATTTCTAGGTGGACATTTCGTGCACAGCCTGTGTCCATTCACTCTAACCTTCGTCCGTCTACTATTCTCCCTTATATAGCAAGCTTCACATTATGAACACTTTATCCTATAGACACAATTACTTTGCGACATTTTGGGAACCATATCTTTGACATTCAGCAAAGCTTTCTCTACCTAGAGAACCAGGGGGCTTGAAATAGACTTCAATATTATGTGGAGAAAATAGTCTTTGAAGTTGTTCAGCTGTGTCCTTCGATAGGCAAGATCTCAAATTTTCTGCTTTCCCTTATGCTCCCTTTAATTGATAAAATTATTGAGTAGCTTTTTCGGATAACCGTTTCCAATCAATATTTGTTTTATGTTGGAGATCTCGTTTTCCATGTCATCATTATCTGTTGTAATGTTTCTAGCTCTGTTTAGAAGATTTAAAGCTACTGGAACGTTCATTCTTGTTGGATGATCCGACTGGAAATTCAATTTCCTGTATATCGTGAACTTTAGTTTCTCAACAGTTGGTATTCTCATAAGACAGTCCATAAAGACTGCAGATCCTTCATCCGATTCCACTTCAATAGTAAACTCTATATATTTTGAGATTAAGTTAATCTGTGTTAGAAAGTTTTATTTTTCAGCTTTCCTAATGATGACAAATGTGTCATCCCCATAACTGTGCCATATTCTAGGATGATAACTAAAACTTGTCAATGCTTTTCTTTCCAGAGCTACAATTAGAGATGCTGATCCCACTGCAACTCCATTTGTCTGCCAACATAGCTTGTCTTTAAAATTAGATTCTAAACAAAGTTTTAAGCATTTTATAACGTTTTCTGTTGATATTGAAGATTTAGCTAAGAATTCCTGATTGTTTTCAAGTTCGTATTTCATAATATCAAGTGAATCACATATAGGAATACTAGTAAATAGAAAAACCACATCAAAACGTGCCATAATTTCGTCTTCTTCAATAGTTTTGTCCTTTACTTTCCCTTAAAATCCTCAATATTTTTAGTGTTTGAAGGAATATTGTTTTCAAGTTGTTTCAGTATTCGTGATATGCGTTTTTACAAAGTGTATTTTGCTGAATTTGTGAAACCAGTTTTTGGTCTTAAAGGAATGCCTATTTTGTGGATTTTCAATCTTTCATAAAATCTATTAGCCGAGGTTTTTCAGAGCTAATGGAAACTAAACTGAATCCCCCAGTTTTGGTTTCAATTCTTTAAGTGAACCGCACACTTCTGCCTTTAATTTAGTCATAGTACACGACGCTTTGTTGAATGGTACTAGTGTGTTTATGGACTTGCTGGGATATATTGCAGGGCTTTCTTAACATAATCTTCTCTAACGAGAATCATGGTGACAGTGCCTAAGTCAACTTTAGTTATGAAGACAAATTTATCTGATCTACTGAAGATGCTGTAGCGGCTTACACAGAGAAACGTTCAGAAAAATCCCGTTTTGATTTTCCCTAAAACACAATGTGATTATTTTAAATAATTTATAACATATATCTGTATATTCCAAGTGTTCGCTAGCACGTACTGACATCATTTCGAGAACTAGGGAGTACTAGACATCTATTTTCTCCCAGTCTGGGAGTTATCAATAGTGCACGCTGATAATCACACTAAGGACAGGGTAGATTAGTAGGACAGCCCATCGACCATTCAACCTATGGGATGAGCGTAAATAACCTTTGAATCATATACATCTATGTATGCTGAAGCGTCGGTGGCATAGCGGTTAGGACGCTCGCCGACCATGCACATGGCCAACGCACTCCTTTACCTCGCTAAGCCAGAAATAATGCTGGTGAAGAGGAAAGGTTGGGCATGAGGCTAGCAACCCCATCCTTTAAAAATAAAACACTGCTACAGAAACTTCAAGCCACTAGCTTGAAGCCCTATGTTCGACTGGGGAACGTGAAGGATAAAAAAAAGTTATATGCTGAAAAAAGGAGCTTGTAATAAGTTTGTAGTAAAATAATTTGAAAGTTTGGGTTGAGAGAATTCATGTAACTTAGAGGATGAATGAGATTACTGCCATCAATTCACAGTTCTCTTTTATGAAAAATAGACCCACCATATATTTTTAAAATGTATTGCATAGTATAAAAAACACAAGACTGTTCAGGGGTTATAAAAATCTTTTCCATACTTAGAATGCCATAGTCTTCAAGTCTGTCAACAAAGTATTTTATATTTTCTTTATCAGGATATAAAATTTTAGAGGTTATACCCTGAATAAATCTAATTTTGGCTGTATTTCATTTTAATGATACTGACAACGAAAATGACCCACTTTGTTTAGTGAAAGTATAAGAAACTTGGTCACAAATTAAGTTAGTTGCAATCGGTCAGATTACAAAGGAATGGCATATTACCTGTTACGGATGATATTGGCCCTAATATATCAATGACATCGCGCGCCAGACCCTCGAGTAGAATTGAAATGGGAGCGACGATTGTGTCTTCAATGCAGGGGTGACATGGAGGAGATCGTGTGAGTTAGAGGAGATGAGAGATTATGGGCAGTCGTGTACCCAGATGAAGAGGACAGCAGAAAAATAGAACAAAGTGAAAATGTGTTGCTGAGGCCCTATGTTCCACTTGGAACTAAACGGAATAATAATACAATATAATAATAATCACCTGTTACTGATGATAGTGACCTAATTTTCTTGATAAATATATTTTTTATCCATCACTGGTGTGCCACATAAAACACACGGCTTCAAGCACCAATTTGTGGAGTTTCAGAAACCCTGGTGTTTTGCTGTCACAATGTGGGATCCTGACCTTCCATCCTTTCCAAGATTACTATAAGCTAGGCAAATTTTTGGAGTGCATCGGTGTGGCTATTTGGTACCACTGAAACATTGATAAATATACTGGTGTGCCTTATTCGATTTTTCTCTAATTAGTGAACAGCAACATTTAAGGACGTCAATTACGGCAGAGGAACGTGACTGAACACTCGGCATTCTGACTGCATCATCTTCTATTCTATTAGAAGTCGCGTTACTTTCAAGAGAAGTGTTTTCTTCCTAACAGCATACATTTCATAGTTAAAAATAAACTCAGGTTTCGGGGAATTTAGTTTTCCAGTTTTCCTTACAATGTGAAATCAATAAAATTATAAGTTATTTCGCATTCGATTTTATTGGACAATTATTCAATGATGAAGGTCTGTTTTTCAATAGTTCGCTTATTTGTTTTGCGCATGAAATGCATTTTCAACTTATTTTTATTACTACATAAAAGATGGCGTCAGAAGATAAAATAAAATTTATCCCTTCTACGAAATCATCAACTAGACTGGAAATTAGTAAAATGTTTAAAAAAAATGGGGTCATAAAGTTTCTGGTCAGGGATCAAAATATGCCGAATAACAAGATGAAGGTAGCTCACGTAATTACTATTTAAAAAAATATGAAAAATAATGACACAAAATTCGTATTACAAGCAATCTAGAAATAGTGATTGTTTTTGCTTCTTTTGAATTTTATGACAATGGCTTAAATTTTCGTACTACTAATGCTACATCTCCACCCAGACGTGTTGTTGTCAAAGAGCTCTGACAGGTTTCGTCTGACGAGGATTTGAAAGATTTCCCAGATGAGATGGAATATCCCGAATTCACAAGATGTTCTGTTATTTAACTTAAGTTACTCTGTGTTTTTTTATTAATGCGTGTGAATAGTCTTCCAGAGATTACTTTACGTATAGATGTAAGGTACAGCCAATTGTATTACATAATTTCATCCCGTTAATCGTTATATTTCAACTTTTGACTGAAAATTATTCTGGAACCTTCTCACGTTTATTATTATATTATTGTTTCCTTTAATTCCTAGAGGAACATAGGGCTTCAGCCGTGCGTCTCCATTGAGTTCGGTTCTCTGCTAGAGTCCTCACCTGGCTCCAAGGCTGGCCACACGTGTTCATCTCCTCTTCACATGACCTCCTCCAAGTAACCCTCACATTGACGACCAACTCGCCGCTTCCCTTTCGGGTTCCACTTGAGTAATGGCTTGTCTAGTGATGTCACTTGCTGGTTTCCTCAGAGTATGGCCAATCCATCTCCATTTCTTCCTGCCTATC